TGAACATTATTCTAGGTCCTATTCTTAAAGTTGCTCTTGTTTTTACTTCTCCTGAGGCTATTTTTGCTGGTAAGTTTGCATAATAAATTGACCATTTATTTTCTATTTCTCTTCCTAGCTCTCCGAGTAAATTCCTAAAATATTTATTTCCTATTTCTTCATCAAAACTTTTTCCAGTTCTAGCTGCTATGGCTAAATATTCTTTACTAAAGGGTACAACATATTTTCAACTTCCTAATGTTATTTGATCTAACTCAGTTAATGCTATGCTTTGAGTATAATCATTTCTTCTAGAAGGGTCATATCCTATAAGTATTGCTTTTATAAAGCTAGTAAAATTCTATGAGTTATCTCCTAGTCCTTTAAGCTGTCAAATTGTCTTTTCATATTTTCCTTTAAAGGTTAAATATATATTAAAAGCTGAATCTTCTAAAAGTGTTTCCATAGCCACATATCAGTTGATTCAAAGGGATTACTCATCTATACTTTTACCGCATTTTTTTTCCCATTTTTCTATTACTTCTTGCCATATCTGAGGGTCAAATCTAGCTAAATCTAAAAGGGTTCCTTGGTTATTTTGTTGGCTGTAATTGTATACTCATATCTGGTTGTCTACGCTTTCCATGAAATCTATAACTTTTACTCGGGTCTGCTTTACTATGCCCTGTGTTAGCTAATGGTCTTCTTCCTCCTACTGCATAATGCATTGGTTCTACTGGATCTTCTACAATTTGTTGTGGGTTACCAGTTCATGTGCTTTCTATGTTCATATAAAAAGTGTCTTCTAAGTTGGATTGTTTTGGTATCTTGAATATTTTGCTAGGATATATTTTATTTTCTATGATAACATCTACATATTCGGTATGAAATTCTTGGTCTAAAAATGACACTGCTTCATCATGGGTATCTCCTCTAGCTATGTATTCGAAGTACTTAGTATCTAATATTTTATTTATATCGCTTAGGGTGAAATTTTCCAAATCTATCTCATCAATATTTTATATCTTATTTTGTGATATTGTTTTCTCCTCTGCCATTACATAAAGTTGATTTATATCACTATGATTATCTTGATTTTCTTCCCTATCTATACTACTAAATTCATCATCTTTAGATTTTTCTGGTGCTTCGTACGTATATTGAGTAAATTTTACTACATAACTTCTATATGCTTTTTGATATAATAAGTTATCTTGAGGGGCTAACCTTTTTTGTCCTAGAAAATCTCCTAAGTTCCAATCCAGTGCTGCATTATCTTCAGAATTAAATTTTTTAGCTGGTAGTGCCTTTATTCCTTTTGTGCCTAATAACTTAACTATCTGATAATTTGTAAGTCTATAATGAATATTGCTTTCTAAGACTGCTAAACCTAAAAATCCTGTGCATACTAATAAATTCTTTTCTTCTTTTTTCATTTTGTATCCTTTACTTTTTATCCCTATTTTTATCTTTTTATGAAAGGTCGAGGTTGGTAATAGGAAATCTGGTGTAAAATAAACTATTCATCCTTTTGAATTCATATCTAATTCATAATTGGTTAAAATACTTTGTCCTACATTGTTAAACCTATCATCATAAAGGCATACAAAAACTTTAGTTCCTAAATTTTCTTTAGTTAAAGCCTTAACTCCTACCACAATTAATCTTAAGTGAGTCGTTTTAAGGTGTTCATTTACAGCATATTTATAACTTTCTCTATTTATTAAATTTAGCTCTATTTTTTCATCTTCATGGGTTACACTAATCATTTGTTCACCATAGTGTTTAAATATATATTGTTTTTTATGAATCTTACCTAGCTTATATACATATTTAGCAGGGATTAACTCTCATTTTTCCATTTTTAATTTTTCTATTTGTTGTTCTACGTCTATAAATTCTTCTACTTTGACGTCTTCATCCTCATTACGCTTTTTATTGCTACTTCCTTTTACTAGCTGTTTAAACATTTTTATTTTCTGTAAATTCTACAGGCGGGTTTCTTTGGTAATTTAAGCTTTTCGAAATATCTAGCTATATCTTCTTCGTTTATCTGTGATTTGGATTTGTTTGTTTGTCCTTCTACTCATTTTCCTTTTTGAAGTATTATTTTTTCTAAAGAAGCTAAACGATTTTCTAAACTATGTAGTTGTTCTGATAATTCTTCAAATTTTTCACACAATCTGATTAGATATAAAATTTCTATATTATTTTGTCTTACTGATATTTTATCTGATTGATTTATTCCTTGATAGCTACTGATTTCTTCTGGGTTATTATGAAATTCTTCTGCTTGTTTTAAAATAATCTGGTAGTCCCTATTAACTTTTTTATCATTACTCATAAACTAAGATCTTATTAGTTGTTCTAAAATTTCTAATTTTTGTTTTAAATTTTCTTGAATTTGGTTGATTTGTTCTATTTGTTTAGCTATTTAATTTATCTGACTATGAATTTTTTCAATTAGTTGTTTAAATTCTAACTCTATTTGCTTTGAGCTGCTAGTATTTATAGCTAAAATTAGAGTTTCTATTTCTAGCTTAGTGGGAAATTTTTCTAAATTTAAATCTATTCATTTTTTAATGATAGAACTACACTGATCTTGGATATACTCTAATTTTTTTATCTTGATCTTTAATTATACTGCAAGTATTAGGAAGATAGTCTATAGATGAAGTAAAAAGATTACTAATTTTATCTATGTCCTTTTTAATATTTTCTGGAAAATTAATTTGATAATATATAATACTATTTAGCTGAGAATTATGTTCGCTATGGAGCTGATGTGAAAAAGTACCTTCAAAATTACAATGACATTTATTTTTATCTATGTTAAGACGATGGTTATGATTGCTGGGTTCTAAATCTAAATATTCTACTCTTTTCATACACAAAATTAAATCCTACTTTAAAATTATTAAAAGCTACTATAATATGAAATTTATAACTAAATTGTTCAAAAATAAAAACTACTCTATTTCTGTAGGCAAAATGCATGAACTAACTTAAACTGTCCTAAAACCGAACACTGCTCCGATACCATTTTTGGGATGAGGTTAGTGGTCTACCACTATTTTGAAATTGGGCTGAGAATTATCCAATTAATTCTACAGTTAAGCTAATAAATCTTCAAGCGTTGTATAGCTAGTTGTAAGGCTTCTTGTTTTATAGTTATCTGTCTATTTATTTGAGTAATTTTCAAACAATAATTTTCTAGAGATTTATCGAAAGCTAATAATAATAGAAATTGATATCTTAATTTTTTATCTTCTAATTCTTGTATAAGTTCAGTACTGGTTCTGATTTTAATCCTAAGTTCTTCTTCTAAGGGTATAAAATTTTGATTTATAAAATTCTTTTATGAACAATATTTCCTTGATATTTTTACTCGGGTTGTTCTCCTTATATTCTAAAATTCTTTTTCTTTGGCAAAAATATTTTTAGGCAATGTTTGTTTTCATTACATGTACTCCCACCTTGAAGCTAAGCCTCGTTCAACATAGTATATTTTTATTTTCTATTCCTTACCTTTCCCCTTTTGCCTACAATTTGCCCTCAAACGCCTAACCACGTCTCACATGGGCTCTTCAGCTAAGGTCACTCAGTAATAAAATAGAAAACAACAAATACTATGAAGGTGCAAAGCATGTAATATTAATGAGCAAACAAGCATTCCATAAACTTAGTTTTTCCAAAAAGAAAATAAATTTTAGAATAGAAGAGTTACACTTTTGAAATATCTAAGGAAAAAGAGAGACTACTCGCACTTCATATTAATATGTAATATACTTACAAAGATTATGTTACATACTTTGAGTTTCTAAAAGACTTGGAACACTTAGAATTTTTTAGAGGAGTTGGAAATTTTTGCAAAGAAAAGTGAGAGAAAATTTTTCATTGCTTCTTCCGTTGGCATGAATGCAAATTTATACAATACAAAAGAAGGATAAAAATAAAAACTCAAAACCTAGACTTAATGCTTTCTGTTCCAACCTTTCCTAAAAGTCTAAGACCTATTCAAGCCTAGACATAGGCTTTTTCAAAAAGTAATAAAGACAAAGATTATGCATATAATTATATGCCTATTTTGACAAACTTTCGACGTAGATAAAAACAAGTAAAGGGTTTGGATAATGATACCGAGTACTGCTTTGGGCTCCATCGCACATCATTCAATTCTTCATTTTAGATAAAATTTTGACACTATAATTTGTTGCAAGACACGTGTAAGGATTTTAACAGCTTTTCTTTAATGGAGTAGGGTAGAGGTCATCTGCTCTATTAAAGTAGTGAGTGAAGGAAAAGTCTTACTGCTGACAGACGCAAATAATTACAAGCATAATATTTACAATAACTATTGTCATTTTTTGGCGTGCTTTTCTCTGATCGTTGAAGAGAGACTTTATCTTCTACAAATATTGTCTTTTTCTTCTGAGTTGCCAAAAATTGATGTAGACGCTTGGATGATGAATCTTCAAGGTGGATCATTCGTAGAAAATTTACAAAATTTCAAAAAGTCAAAAATCTAGAAACAAGGAACTACAATACTTCCAAAATATTATATGAGTCTATTAATATTCAAAATATGACACTTTTTTCTTTTTTCTTTTTTTAATTTTCCTTTAATGTATGATAGACTATAATATCACATTAAATTGTTAAATATTAAATAGGTCGGTTTGATTTTATACGAAATTAATAAATTACTACTAAATAAAAAAAGGGTGATACTACTTATGCCTAAAAATTAGATTTAATTTTCAAACCTAATTATGCGATATTAGTAGGGGTGTGCAACGGATCTGCCGACCCGCCTCACCCGACCGACCCGACCCGACCCGAGGCACAACGGACGGATGCGTGACATCTGGCGGACGGATGCGGGTCTAGAAATACCAATTTCACGGGTGTGGGTCAGGTCACGGATAATCCGCCAATTCTATTGATTTACCCGACCCGTCCGCCCACACTAATTTTCCCTTTTTTCCCCTCCAATCTTGCCTTGCCCCTGTTGTTTTCATTTGAGGTTTGTAGCCCTAGGTTTGTTCAATGACTATGTCTGTCTCTCTCTCAACTCTCTCTCTCTCTCTCTCTCACACACACACACTTGAACGGAGGAGACGAGAAACAATCGGCGTCGGTGACAATGGTGGCTATCGACGATCGGCGATCGGCGACAGTGGTGGTGGCGAGCAGCGATCGAAGCGTCGATTCGAAGGTAATCTTCTCTTCTCTTCTCCTCTTCTCTTCTCTTCTCTTCGCTTTTTGTCTTCGATCGGTGATCAGAAACTGTGTTCTGTGTTTTTATTTTGTTATTTTTTTAGTAATTAGGGCTTCAGCTTCTTCCCTTCTCTTCTCTTCTCTTCTTGTCTTTGTAGAGATTTGCTTATTTTTTCAGGGCTTCGACTGTGTTCTGATAGGGCTTCAACTGTGTTCTGCTAATTACTTAGGGCTTTCACTGTGTCAAATTAATCATGTTTCAGGTTGCCTTGTTTCTGAGTATTTAATCATGTTTAAGGTTGCCTTATTTCTGAGTATTAAATTAATCATGTGTTAAATTAAGTTACAGATATGCTTATTTCTTGTGTCTGAGTATTTGATCAATGACAGCCCAAATTGATGACCTAGACTCCATGGTTAAGATTGCCTTGTGAGCAACCTTTTATGTCTCTCAGTTCATCACATGTTGAAATTGTGTGCATTAATGTGTTATACCTTGAATGGAACTTAATTTTGTTTGTTAAGGGTTTGTTAGTTTATTTGTTTGTTTTGGAAAAAGATAAGAACTTTATTGAAATATATAAGAAGTATGCAGAGCAGTGGCTTTCTTCTCTTCCATATCGCTGAAGCATACTGATTGGTTACTGTACTAGTTCTGAGGCAAATATTTGAATAGAGTATGTTATGATATAGATTAAATATTTAGAAGGGGAAGAAAAATAGTTAAAATTTACCGACAAAAAAAAGAAAAGAGAAAAGGAAATTAAAACAAAGAAAGGTGCCTTCTTTCTCTGCAATCTGGCAAAATTGTGGGTAATGCTGTTAATTGCTCCTTGGAGTACTAATGACGGGGAAGAAGACATGTATCTTGAAGTTTTCAGCTCATTATGTTAGGTTCTTCAGGTTGTCAGGGTTAGGCTTGTGTCAAACCGTGACGTGATCAGGCTGCTTTACATGTAAAATGCAGATTCTTTATTGTAAATACTGCTTCTGTGAATATGTGAAGCATGTTTGTGCTTCTTACTTCTAGCTGCTGTAAATAATTCTCTGCTTCTCTCAAGTTATGAAATCAAAGGCCAACCAGTTTATTTCGTGTGCTTTTGTGTCTTTCTGCTGTGTTTGGAAAGAATAGAGTAACAAAAAGTGAATAAAGTATAAATTACCTTTTTTATTGTTTTACTTTTTATTACCAATTTCCTTTTCTTTTCATAAATTAAAGATCTAAACACATTTTTGACTACATTATCAATTATCCTTCTTTACATGTGCTAATTGGTTGGCATCCTGGAAACATTTTTTTTTTTTTGGAACTTTGATGCAGTGGAAGCACTTCCAAGATATGTCTAACCAAACAGAAACCTCACGACCTTCTTTCTCATTCTTATTGCTCTGCTCTTTATATTGTCCTATTTCCCTGTATTACTTGAGAACATTTTCTTGTCTGTTGTGCCACAATTTCTTTCTCATACAACAGAGTTTATTTAGATGATTTCATCTTGTTTGAAATTATAGGGAACAACATAGCATGGATTTCAAAAGCATATTTTCAATGTTTTTTTTTTATTGGTTTTTGGCAGTTGTTTTTGCCCAAGTTGTTTAAGAAATGTCACTGGAATTATGCACAACACACTTGAATTGTGCACAGCTGACTTGAATTGCCCAGGTTGTTCAAGAAATGCTCACTAGAATTATGCACAGCACACTTGAATTGCCCAGGTTATTTTTGCATGCACACTTGAATTATCCCACTTCCCACTGGAATTATGCACAGCACACTTGAATTATGCCACTACCAGAATTATGCACACTTGAATTATCCCACTTGAATATTGAATTATGCAAACTTGAATTATGCCGTGTTTTTTTTTTTTCTAAGGAAGTGCGCACACAATTAAGTTATGTTGAAAATTTGTAAACTTTTAAACCGCCAAACCGATTCGTATCCATCCGCCAATCCGCTCATCCGCTCAATCCGCATCCGCCGGATTGGCGGACGGATGCGGATTGATTTTCTCCAGTCCGCCAATCTGGCGGACGGATGGCGGATTAGAGGTTCCGTGGCCGCAATCGATCCGCGCCCACCCCTAGATATTAGCATGAAATATTTAAAGTAACTCTCTCTCTTATTTTTTTTATAATTAGTAATCAATTATTTCACTTACACATTATTACATTTACAAGGTAAACTTATATATTATTTTTTTTTATATAAAAAGAACTTTTTAGCACAAACCAAAACCCCGGCAAAACACATTTAATGACAAACCAATCACAACCAATCCGTTTGATTTGATTCAACGGTATCAATTTTTAAAGAATAATACTATATACATCAATTAGTATATTAATTGATAATATGTCATAATTTTAGAAGTTTTAAATTTTATAATGGGTGGGGTCATAATTGTAAAATGTCAATATCATAACTATGTTGGTACACTAATTAGTATACTAATTAATGCGTGGTATAATCAGGTTTTAAGTTTAATTCACAGTAAGTAGTATTAATTTCTTGAATCATGTTTGAGGATTTTGTTTGATATTTGCTCGATTTACATGGACGGAATATTTACGTGAATCCCAAAATTAATTAAGATACACGAAAACTAACTCAAATAGTTGATCATAAAAAAATTAAAAAATAATACAGTCTAAGAAGTATCCATAAACGAACAAAGCTGCCTGGCCCTATAGTCCAACCATATTTTATACCTTAACGTTGTGTTTGGTGGGAAGATTTGTGAAGAGATTTAGAAAGGAAAATAGAAAAAGTATGTGAAATATGAATAAAATATATCTACATTTACATAGTTTTATACACTTTTTTCTCTTCATTTTCTAAATTTTTACTTAAATTCTCCAACTAAATACAGCAAGTTGACCAAATTTAACCCATCATTACTAACATTGAGGAATCTTCATTTTTGATGAAATTCATGAAAGCTTTAAACTATTTTGCCACTAACTTTTATCAGAGCACGTTCCATTAATCGTAATGTGAATTGCAAGAATTCTCACCATTGAATTCTAATCTTTGTTTTTCGGAGATGAAGATTCTTGTTTGTGATAAGATTTAAATTCTTGATTTTTAATGAAATTCACAAAAAATTTTCTAGCTGGGTTAATCCTATTTAATTAGTGAATTTCAATATTAACATATCTAGTTGAATTGGAGGTGTCGTTGAAGTTTTGGTAAACTCACTGTGAATTCACTTTAATAATTTAAACCATTTATATTTTAAGATTTGTTGAAAATATCATTTACGGAAAAAAATATTAAGTTGATTAGATATAAATAGCCGTTTAATCATATCACATTTATCTTATAAAAATAAATTGACAAGTATGATTTTAAGAATAAATCATTAATTTTTTAAAAACAAATGTGATACAATTATGGGCTATATATGTTCAACTGACCTATTTTGCTTAAATTATAAGATGAATAATTTATATTACCACGCCGAGGCTAGGGTAAACCCACCAAATCCCAACAACAAATCCATCTCCAGTTGAATTATCATTTGAAAAGAAACCTAACCCCTAACATATAGTCTAAAATGATAATTTGGACAAAACTTGAGATTAACATATAATCTAAAATGACATTAGGTTTTGTTTGTGCCAAAATTTAAAACTCCATCTAGCAGGACATTTTCAGTTGGAGTTTAAGTGAACTTCATTTGGAAAAAGAACAACGCTTCTCTCAAGTCTTAAAAGAGAATCGGATCATTCGATCTAAATTTATGAGCTCATACCACATGATTTTATCACATTTATATATTTTAAAAAATTGATAAAACTATATTCAAAATAACATATATTGTTAATTTTTTAAAAATAAATTTGATGAAATTATATAATTATAATTATTAAATCTTGTGTAAATAATTTCTATAGAAAATCTAAAATATTAACCGATCGAGTCATTAGAATGGTCCTGTCGTGGGCTGATAAGCTTTGACTGAACGGTTTAGAAACAAACTGCATTCTTGGAGAAAATACTTGTATAATATGACAGCCTAAGATGATATGTACACAGTACCCAAAATCAAGATCAAGAATCATCAAAGAAATCAAATATAAGCATATACCAACTTTGGGATTCTACATCTGGCTAAAGCAAGGGATTGAAATCTACATCCTTCAGTGATCTTATCATTCTCTACAAACACATGATATAGACATCAACCAACACTGATAAAAGGGAAATTTTATATATATAATAAAGACCAATATACAGCTCACCTTGGAAACCAATCAGTGCTTAACAGGATTATGTCAACAAAGCTGACAAAAATTTCACTCCATGAAAAAAAAAAAAAAAATTACATATCAGTGTATCTCTTTAAAAATAATTACATATCAATACAATTTTTTTTTATCAATATTTATAATTAAAATGATAAGTTTTTCAATGATTTTGTAACTATTTTTTTGAAATTACACTGGAAATTAATTTCCCCTTAAAAAAAGATTTTGATTAAGAAGTACAACTACTTGAACTAAACTGTAGTTCTGATAAGGTGCACTCTAATATTTGTATTATTTATTTTTTTTAAATCAATATGAGACTATTCATAAATAGAAAAATAATTATATTTAGATACTCATAGTCTAATAACTATAGAAATTCAATAACGGAGAAGAAACAACTAACCTTGTTAGTGTATTATAATGTTAGTGTCATATATAGTTGTCATACATTAGCATATATTATATACATGTAAAGTAAAATGTTTATTGTAATGTTTATTGCTTTTGCTTTCGGTGCATTTGGCATCCTATGTATCCTATTTACTCTCTATAAATGAGAGTGTTGTAAATCACTGATGAGAACATCAATCATAATACATACAAGTTATTCTCTCTGTAATTCTCTCTCTATCAATTTATCTTACATGGTATCAGAGCTAGGTTAACAACTTAGTAATTCCGCTTCACCGGCAGGCGACAGCCTCGCCTTGGCTGCCCGCCGGACCTCTACACATACCTTCACTCCGCTGCCACAAATTCTGCTCATAGTCCACCTTCTATGGTTTCAGGGTTAAGCCCAACACAGGCCAGACAAGCTCTAGATCTTACCACCATGTCTTCAAGCTCAGGCTCCATCATGGACCGGGCCGATCCGGTTAACCCGTCTAGGCAAGTAACATGGTTGGTGAGAACTGAGCCATGAATGGGCATACTCGGCTGTCCTTTTCTCAATTGCCACCACAGAGTCCATCACTCTATCCATTGACAGTTCCATCAACTCCAGGCAATCTGCTAGAGCCCCTTGCTCTCTCTTGTCGTTGATCCGATAGCTGATACCGCCTGCTGTCTCGATAGTCTTTTGTATGCCCGATGTGGATTTCTTCAAGAAGGCCTGCAGCAAATCAGGGCCCTTCATTTCCATCAAAATTTCAGGGGGAGCAATGTTTACTTTTCTTACACTCTAGTGGGTGTCCATGGCTCCGGCCATCTCTCCTATAATGGAGCTCTTGCAGCCGTGTTCACCGAAGGGTTGTGTTTACTGAAGGGTTGATCTTCCTCTTCATTTCATCATTTGGGTTGCGCACAACACTTGCTCAACTTATTTCAAAACTAGTCCGAATCTCCTCCATCGCTGGAATCGGACTCTTCCTTGCTTTCATCGATTTACAAAACAACCAAGGCCTTGGACTCATCGCCGCTTACAGCTCGTCCACAAACCCATTCTTCTTGTTTTTTATTTTATTTTATTTCTTTCTTTGTCATCTGTGGGTCTTTTAATCTCTCCTTCACGCATACCCTTTTCCCGAAGACAAAGCTACCAATCAAAGAATAAACGTAACATAACAAAAAAAAAACAAAAAAAACAAAATCCTTACAAGTTTTAAAGACATGGATACTTTCTGTTTAAACCATTTATATTTTAAGATTTGTTGAAAATATCATTTACGGAAAAAAATATTAAGTTGATTAGATATAAATAGCCGTTTAATCATATCACATTTATCTTATAAAAATAAATTGACAAGTATGATTTTAAGAATAAATCATTAATTTTTTAAAAACAAATGTGATACAATTATGGGCTATATATGTTCAACTAACCTATTTTGCTTAAATTATAAGATGAATAATTTATATTACCACGCCGAGGCTAGGGTAAACCCACCAAATCCCAACAACAAATCCATCTCCAGTTGAATTATCATTTGAAAAGAAACCTAACCCCTAACATATAGTCTAAAATGATAATTTGGACAAAACTTGAGATTAACATATAATCTAAAATGACATTAGGTTTTGTTTGTGCCAAAATTTAAAACTCCATCTAGCAGGACATTTTCAGTTGGAGTTTAAGTGAAGTTCATTTGGAAAAAGAACAACGCTTCTCTCAAGTCTTAAAAGAGAATCGGATCATTCGATCTAAATTTATGAGCTCATACCACATGATTTTATCACATTTATATATTTTAAAAAATTGATAAAACTATATTCAAAATAACATATATTGTTAATTTTTTAAAAATAAATTTGATGAAATTATATAATTATAATTATTAAATCTTGTGTAAATAATTTTTATAGAAAATCTAAAATATTAACCGATCGAGTCATTAGAATGGTCCTGTCGTGGGCTGATAAGCTTTGACTGAACGGTTTAGAAACAAACTGAATTCTTGGAGAAAATACTTGTATAATATGACAGCCTAAGATGATACGTACACAGTACCCAAAATCAAGATCAAGAATCATCAAAGAAATGAAAATATAAGCATCTACCAACTTTGAGATTCTACATCTGGCTAAAGCAAGGGATTGAAATCTACATCATTCAGTGATCTTATCATTCTCTACAAACACATGATATAGACATCAACCAACATTGATAAAAGGGAAATTTTATATATATAATAAAGACCAATATACAGCTCATCTTGGAAACCAATCAGTGCTTAACAGGATTATGTCAACAAAGCTGACAAAAATTTCACTCCATGAAAAAAAAAAAAAAAATTTACATATCAGTGTATCGCTTTAAAAATAATTACATATCAATGCAAATTTTTTTTATCAATATTAATAATTAAAATGATAAGTTTTTCAATGATTTTGTAACTATTTTTTTTGAAATTACACTGGAAATTAATTTCCCCTTAAAAAAAGATTATGATTAAGAAGTACAACTACTTGAACTAAACTGTAGTTCTGATAAGGTGCACTCTAATATTTTTATTATTTATTTTTTTAAATCAATATGAGACTATTCATAAATATAAAAATAATTATATTTGGATACTCATAGTCTAATAACTATAGAAATTCAATAACGGAGAAGAAACAACTAACCTAACAAATCAATCAATCTAAGAAAAAGCTCTATAACTAACCTAACAAATCAGTGAATCTAAGAAAAAGCTTTATAATATAAAAAAGAAATTATCAATTCTTGCATTAAGTAAGAATTGACTTTTGATCTCTTAAGTAGGAGTACACAAAATGCCCAACGTCTTAACATTAAGTAAAAAAGACAATCAAACACAAAGGAGAGTAATTCAGTTGAGAGCACTTGGATTGAGAGTGGCAAAGGCAAGCAAGTTTTGGGTGCTCTGAAACAAAGCCATGTCTTGTTCAATCAAACACACCCAAACTTCTATTCCCTCCTCATCTCTTGCTTCACTCAACACAGAAACATTAGGGACTCCCACACTTCCAATGGTTGCCCAAGTTGGCTTTCCCCACCCAAAATCAGCCTCATACCATGGCATTCTACACCAACTAGTATGAGCATACACATCCACTTCTTCACTTCCACTCATGCCCATCATCCCCACCTGCTCCTTTCCCAACTCCATTATTGAACTGCAAATCTCCGGCCTCGTTGCCACACAATTCTTCCCCAATTCTAGCTTCCCTTCCCCTATCCTGCCCACCAATCTTGCTAAATCCATTTCAATCTCATCATCTAGGTTCGCTACTAGTGGGTGTCCTACATTTCCAAAGCACCACTCGGGCAATGGTGGCACGAGGCATGCTCGTTTGTTTGCCGACAAGACCAATGCGGATGGCCTTGGCCTTGTTGGTGATCTTGATCTTGAGGCCGCCACCACGTATTTCCAAATGAGGGCGGAAACAGCCTGGACACGGTTGGGCTGTGGCACGGTGGCGACGGTGGCTTTTACCTTGAGTGCATTGAGCTTGGCGGCACTGATCTGTGGTGGTGGCAGCTGGTAAATGTGTGGTGGCAAGGTCTGGAAGTCATCTCTTGCTGGAAAAATAGAGGCTATACCAAAATCTAGAACAATCACTGCATCGAGATTTCCCGATGCAGTGTGGGCCCAGGCCTTGAGGAATGTTCCAAATGAGGCTGCATCAGCCATTCTGTGGTTAGTATACATTCCTCTGCATTCAAAAAAGGTAGCCTGGATGAGTAGCAGAGGTCCTCCCAAACCCGGTTTCATAAATTTGGTTGGAAGGAAATGGTCGAGTGGTTCACTTTTTGGTTGTTCAAGAATGCAGGAGATTGAACAGTTGACTAGAGCTTCAAAATAATCAGCACATCGTTGCAATCAACGGAGAGATGATCTTTGATTCTTCCGGCAAGAGGGTAGAAGCGAGTTAAGGTTTCGGAAAGGAAGTTTTTTAAGAGTTGGGATATTTTTGAAGCCGCTTCACCATCACTCTTCTTGTCACCACCACCATCGCCACCGCTTATGGCATAGAAGAGAACTAGTGGCGTATATATTGGAGGCATAAGTTGATCTAGAAGAGAGAGCTTGAAACTTCTTAGGTGATGGAGAGTTAGAGAAGACGGCTTGATAGTTTCTTTAGTGATTACCTCCATCTCCATTGTTGTTGTCATCTGAAAACTTAGTTTGTTTGTCGCTTGCAATGTGTGAAAAAAAAACCTCGATTAGTTTGGTTGTCATTTAATTTATAGGGTCGGCTAGCCGTTGTTTATTGGGTGTTCATTAATAATCAAATAAATTTTTTTTTTTTTGAAGTATGAATTTTAATGCAGATTTTACATATTTTTATATACATTTTACATATTTCAATATAATTTTTATAAAAAATACAAAGGTAATTTTCCAATATCATGTATTACTCGTATGCTTCTTTGCTTGTTGGAACTTCAAGAAATCATATGTCATCAATTGTTTTGCAGAATCATGTAAAGCTTAACTTTAAGTTGTTAGATTAATAGAAGTTTGAATTGTCGAGTTAATTTTTTTATAAATAATATATACTGAGAGTTTTATAAGATAAATTGTTTAAACTATTTTAAAAAGAGACCTATAGTGAGTTCTATAGGCTCCTGAACCCATTAAGGTGTAATCTAAAATGGCATTTATCGAGTAGACTCTCTGTTGAAGGTTTCAAAGTTTACAGGTTGGCCAGGTTGGCCTTTGATTTTGATAGCTTGTAAAAAATACTTGTTTCATGTGACATCTTAATAACAAGTCTTGAGGACTAGTACATACATAGTACCCATATTGGAGGCATAAGTTGATCTAGAAGAGAGAGCTTGAAACTTCTTAGGTGATGGAGAGTTAGAGAAGACGGCATGATAGTTTCTTTAGTGATTACCTCCATCTCCATTGTTGTTGTCATCTGAAAACTTAGTTTGTTTGTCGCTTGCAATGTGTGAAAAAAAAACCTCGATTAGTTTGGTTGTCATTTAATTTATAGGGTCGGCTAGCCGTTGTTTATTGGGTGTTCATTAATAATCAAATAAATTTTTTTTTTTTTTGAAGTATGAATTTTAATGCAGATTCTACATATTTGTATATACATTTTACATATTTCAATATAATTTTTATAAAAAATACAAAGGTAATTTTCCAATATCATGTATTACTCGTATGCATCTTTGCTTGTTGGAACTTCAAGAAATCATATGTCATCAATTGTTTTGCAGAATCATGTAAAGCTTAACTTTAAGTTGTTAGATTAATAGAAGTTTGAATTGTCGAGTTAATTTTTTTATAAATAATATATACTGAGAGTTTTATAAGATAAATTGTTTAAACTATTTTAAAAAGAGACCTATAGTGAGTTCTATAGGCTCCTGAACCCATTAAGGTGTAATCTAAAATGGCATTTATCGAGTAGACTCTCTGTTGAAGGTTTCAAAGTTTACAGGTTGGCCAGGTTGGCCTTTGATTTTGATAGCTTGTAAAAAATACTTGTTTCATGTGACATCTTAATAACAAGTCTTGAGGACTAGTACATACATAGTACCCAGCAACAAGAAGATCAAAGAATCATTAAAGATGTTAATATATAATATATAGTACATTGTAGCTGTAATTGTAGCTGTAAAAACTGTAAAGGCAAACACCCACTACCACACCTTTAGCTTTATTGTACCTTTTATGCTTTCGGTGTTCCATTGTATCCCCCTTCTCTCTATAAAGAGAGCTCATTCTGTTTGTAAACTTACACACATAATTAATAGATCAATATAGAGCTATTCAGTTGCTCTCTCTCTCTCTCAAATTATTGTCACAAAAGAAATCAAAATATAAGCATATATCAACTTTTAGATTCCATATGCCCTTCTTTGAAAAGTTAGTTATTTTAATTAGCTATTTAACTTTTTGACTATTTTAACTTGACTAAAATAGTTGTGTTTGTAAAGTTTTTTATTTTTTATTTTTTAATGATTATGAGAGAAAAAGTAAAATGATTATGAATTGAATGTGACATTTTATCTTATTAATTATTTTAATCTATTTTATCTTTTAGCAGAATATTGCAGCCAACCCTCTTCTCAAACAAATCTTTTATCATTCTCTACAAATACATGATATAGACATCAACCAACATTGCTAATAAACAATTAAGCATCCAAGGATCAAGCTGCGTTCAGATAAATCCATTACAATACAGCTCATCTTGAAACCATCCAATGCCCAACAGGACCATGTCCACAAAGCTGACAAAAAATTCACTGCATTAAAAAAGACGATGATTAATCGCAACAAGAGGAGATCTTCTATACCCTCAATCTCCCCCGTATTCATGTCTCAAAACTCTTGGAATTTTCCTTTTCACCATATGATTGGAGAGATTGATCGCGTGGTAGATACGGTGTTTGGAACAGGAGATAAGTTCTTTATTGACCCCAATAAAGTAAAACAAAATAAAATAAATTCTAAGACGGTCACTGATTCTATTGCAACATAAAAAACAAAGGAGTTGTAGATATAGGGGTGTTTGGGAGAGTTTTTTTGAGTCAACTTATGACTTTTGACTTTTAAAAAGTTATTTTGGACTGTTTGGTTAAACGTGTTTCAAATAGCTTATGATTCTAACAACTTATTTTAAGTCAAAAAAGCTGATTCTGAAAAACTACTCACCCCTTGCACTTCTAATTATCAGTTTCTACTGTGGACATGTTAATTCACGGTTATACTCTTAGATTTTTTTATTTTTTATTTTTTTTAAAAATAGAAAAAGACCCAAATGGACTGTAAAATATTATTATTATTTTTTATGAGAAATGTAGACAAATAGTGAATAATAAAAAACAAAAATTAATTGAAAGAGCTACTTCACAGCTTATTTAACAAACACTACTCAGCAACTTAAATCTAATAATCCAACAGTTATACTAAACAGATTAACAGCTTCTGATTAAAGTCATAATCTATAATCTGTTAAACTATAATCTATAATCTGTTTTAACAGCTACACCAAACAGGACCATAAACTCATAAGAGAAGGTTTTATTGATGGTTTTTGTGCAGAATAGATGAGCGTTATGCACAATTGTACTAGCACAATGATTGACAAGCCAATAATGTCAGAAGAATTGCAGGTACATAACAGGACACAGCAAAAATTACAAGAAATGGAACAGAACAGCAAAAAAAACGAGAGTGTGTAGCAAGAACTCAACACTAGTTAGACGGTATAATGAGGGTTAATATCAATGTCTAATCCTCTTAGCTTAGCAAATGACTCAACCTTGCCTTTCAATGTGTGAAGCTCCCTTAACCTGCACAAGCATGAAAACAAAATTTTAATTGTACTTTGTTGATGCGTAGGTATGTGCACAACATTAGCAAAATAGAACAGTACAGTCCACCATGAATTCATAGACAACGCTTTTTCTACAATTTCAGAAACTAAAAAAAGAAAAAAAAAAAAGAATGAGTAAGTTTGATTAATGCATTAATGAGTTACTATATTTTCTGGTTCAATAATTAATGATCCCCCTCACTATAGTGCATATTTAAGGAAGGGATGGACACCACAAGAGGAGGGGTAATTATTTAATAGTCTTTGGAGTATCACGTGACATTATCTATATAGTGCTCTCAACCACTGAGATAGCAAAAAACTATACAGGTGGGACAATGTTCACCCACCTTTATAAGTAGTTGGGAGTCCAAGCATAACCTATCCAGGCTATGTTTAGGATAATCTTTTTTGGTTAGTTTAGTCACAAAAAGACAAAATAGACTAAAAAGTCAATAAGACAAAATGTCACATTCAAACTATAATCATTTTATTTTTTCTCTCACAAAAGTCAAAAAAGTCAAAAAATCCACCCCAAACAAGACATTTTAGCCCCAAACTAAAATAGCCAAAAAATCAAAAAGTCAAAAAGCCAATCTACATCCCAAACAAAGGCCTAATGTGTTTTGTGATTTTTTAGTTATAGAAACAACACGTAGGCAATGCTACATGGCGCCCCAAGAATAACCAAACCAAACAAAGCCTTAAGTCCTATCAAATGAGATCGGTTATATGAATCCTTATTCTCTACTCGACTCTATCAAAAGCCATTTGGTTAGTTAAATTAAGGAGATTTATATCTCTATTTATTACACTAGCCCACGTCAATCTAAGTCTGCTATTTCCCTAGCATTTTCCCCTACCGTCACACCTCTGTTGGTTTCTGTTGTATATAACTAAACTATCTCAATCTATTCTCTCTCAGCTTATCTTCTATCGGTGCTACTCTTACCCATTCACGAATATACTCATTCCTTTCTAGTCTCTGCCACACATCCACCTTAACATTCTCATCTTAACAACATTCATCTAAATTACATGTTGTTTCTTAATTGCCCAACATTCTGTCCCATACAACATTGCCGGTCTAATAGCCATTCTATGGAATTTTCCTTTTAATCTAGTGGGTACTCGTTTATCGCACGGTACTCCAGACGCACTCCTCTACTTAAGCCACTCTGCTTTAATTCTATGGACCACATCTGCCCCAACCTCCCTAGCCATTATGATGATCGATCCTAAATAATAAAAAAATTCACTCTTAAGTAATTCTTGGTTCTCAAATAATTTTCTAAAGGGGAGGAAGGGGCAGGCACCCAGGGGCAATCACCCCCAAAAGTTTCAAAAACCCCTCTTATTATTCTTATTATTGTAGTGTTAGATAAGAAATTTTTACTTATATAGGTTAGCCCCCTTAATTTTTAAAATATATATTTTTTTATATTTTCATTTTTTGAAAATTTAGTACCTGCCTCGAAGATTTTTTATAAGAAGTTTTAGAGATTTTATTTGGAAAATTTAATACCCACCCTTAAGTAGGATTTAGTGTACAGATTTTTTGGTCGCATATACATTCAGCCTGCTAAGATTAGAATCTTGCGTCCATCCCTAATTTAAGGCATGCGGAAACATGTACATAACAAAAAGATGTTGTAGTACTTCATATTGCCCTAAGAAGTTTTGGCTAATTCCTCTCATTGTTCTTTTTGTGATGGTTTTGGGCATGTGATCTGCTCACTTCTGCATTCAATCTCTAAGGATTTAATCCATGATTTTTTTTATGAAAATGTTGTCAACTAAGGTCAATGGAGCAGAAGTAACATTTGTATATTGTGAACATCATAGTAGAATCTCAAGGAAAGAGACTAACCTTGCAATTTCTGCACGCCTTTTAGCTTCTTCAGCCATGATACTAATGTCCCTGAAAGTGTGTCGCTCAGCAACTGACTTTGTTTCCATAGACTGAAGGCCATGAAGTGTCCGCTGTTCAGCTGCCCATGCAGCCTCACGTGCTTCCCTCCCGAAGTCCTTCTGGGTGGTGAAAGCCGTCTAGTAAAATAAAACCCACAAAATGGAAAATTTAATATTTCATTATGAATAATTGAAAATTTAGAAGTACCATAGGAACCTAGCAAATCACACCACATATTAGCATTCAATATTATTTATAGAAGATACTGGTTTCACTCACTTTTTTGTTTAGTAGAAGATTCCAGGCTTTCCCACTGAGTGCATAACGGACACCGAATTTGATAGGATCAAGAAGTATGTATGTTACAATGTTGAACAACCAAATGACACCTGTCCAACGCCAGCCAATCGCGGTAATCCCAGCAAAACCCCATGTTGCCTTGGCAGATACTAAAGTTGCAACCTGCAAAGGTAAAGCATGATCACTTCAAAACTGAGAGAAAGGGAGAGTTTTGCAACAAAAAGAAAGATGGGGGAAACGAGTCCTTAAAGAATAAAAACATTTCAGAAAATAGCATAAAACGAAAATGTTGCACATTATATGGAAGTTTATTTGAGAATAAATATGTAGAGCTGCAAAATTAAGAAGCTATTTGATATGGAAAATGTAGATGAGAAACCACTAAAGGCAGTTATTCATGACTTCAAGAAAGAAAATTCTCTTCTTTACGAAATTCTTATCTCAAAAAATAATCTCTTGTACGACCAGAGTTCTGAAAACAAGAGAATTTGATTAAACATGAGAAAAAGCAGCCGCATCAAATTAGTGAGTTTTGAGAGAGGAACTTTTCCTGAAGGGTATCAATCAAACTTAAAGAAAAGAGCTTCTTTAAAATTATTATGCTCTTCATGGGATTAATTTTATCTTTCAATGCTAATGGCTTTGTTAGCCTGTTCTGAACAACAATTTGTGCACGTAGGACAGGGAAAAAAAATTTCCAGGGACTTCGACAAAATAAAAGCAAATACCAGCGAAGGGAAGTTTTTAACTTGATATCAACTTTAACAGGCCTATAAATCTTAAGAGAAGTGTTACGTGTCACTGTTTTGTATCATTGTTTACATGGACTTCTGATTAGTTTCTTTGTCTGGAAATAATTATTAAGGAAATAATGACGGCGAACAATATCTTGCCATGTATCCCAATATATGGTGAAAAAAACAGGTGATATACAGTAGTCCTCAAATCTAAAATGAAAAAAATAATAATAAAAATAAAGAAATTGTAGATATGCCAATTGTCAATATCTATTTTGAAACAAACACAAACTTACGGCAGTTCTCAACCTACTTACCAGTTGAGCAATGATGAAGGCAACAACAAGAAGACCACCAGGTCTTTCAGTGAAGGACCATCCCCTAGCACGTGTCACAAATATTAAGGCCTGACTGATGGTGCTAACTTGAAGGTACACGGCAGATGCTAGCTTTCCATTATATTTAGAATCTCTTAAATCTGATACATGGAAATGTTTCTGAGGAAGAAAAAAAAAAAAAAAAAGAATTAGAGGAAATATTTATGACTGCTTTATTTAATTCTCACTACAGAAACAATAAAAATTGAAAAACGAAACTCAAAAGGAAATGAAAAAAAGAGGTATTTACCACAAAGAAACTGGTTTTATAAGTTGTATGAAAAAATATAACAGTCATAAGGGCGAGATAACTGCCTAAGACAATCCCAGTTGCAAAAATTTCACTGAGCTTCCAACTGTCAGGAAGTGGAGATGGCTTCACCCTGTCTTTGGATATTGTCATGATGGTACCTGGAAACAATTAATTTCAGTCAGAGATCAAAATAAGAAAGCAGAGGCGCAAATGAAAAACAAAAGGTTGTGTTTTTGTTTCCTGTTTTCTACTTCGATTTTCATTTTTTTTGGGAAACTAGAAATGAAAACTTGTTTGATATATTATTTTCATTTTCAAAGAAATGGAACTGATTTCAAAATTTTTGGAAACAAAAAAAAAAAGGTGTTTTCACTTGTTTTCCAAACAAGTTATCACTCTTTCTTCTCTGCCCCACCACCGAGACATCCAGCCAATCATTGGCAAGCTCCGCCGATCACCAAATCTGTCAATCCTAGACTCTTAGTCACCACCTCCGACAACTCATCAAACATATTTCTCTATTTTTGTTCTCATTTTTCAAAATATTTGTGTATACCAAACAAGTTTTCTAAAAACAAAAACAAAAACTTGTTTCCAGTTTTTTGTAAACAGGAAACTGACAATGTTAACAAATGTAAGGTAAAGATATGACTCGAAACAGTTGTGTTAACCATGGGAGAGAAGAGAATGGAACTTAAGGCACAGTAGTGCTCACCATCATTAAGTATAGCAATCACAAGAACCATGAAAGGTGGGAAGTTGAACCTCCAAAAAGCAGACAGCAACAGAAAACCTAGCTGTTAGACAAATCCCAGTCACCGATTAGAGGTTTCTAGTGCAGTCAACACATTGTCAAGCTTTTCATATAGTTTAAATCCTAGAGAATACTGAGGGAAACTTACCACTATACGAATTGTGATCGACACGGCATATATCTGGAGAAACAGAGAACTTCAGCATTCGTATTCAAGAATTTGTATCCGAGAAACACATGTTTTGACTAAAAGTTTTGCTTCCTCGAAGAATGCCAAAAAGAAAACAAAAATATCTTACTGTGTAGTTCTTCATTCTTTGAAAGATGGCACGGCTTGTTAAAACAGCACTAATAATTACACTCAACCCAGGCTCAGTCAGAACAATATCAGACGCACTTCGAGCAGCATCTGTTGCATCTGCCACGGCAATTCCTATATCTGCTTTCTTTAATGCAGGTGCATCATTGACTCCATCACCTGTCATTCCACATATGTGTTCTCTACCTTGTAATATCTTCACAATCTCGTACTTGTGTTCTGAAGGAAAGTATCAAGTCAGAAATAGGGTAAACAAGAGAGTTCACAAATTTTCATGATCTTGCCAGCATTATTACCAGGAAAGACACCAGCAAAGCCATCAGCTTTCTCGATGAGTTCATCAATTGGTAGAGCCGCAACAGACTGGTCCTTGTGATCACCAAGTAAAGCTGATGAAGGGTACATGTTTGTACCCATTCCAAGCCGTCTCCCTGTCTCCTTAGCAATTGCCAGCTGGTCGCCTGAAAGATGATCCAATTGCGGTCATAATTATGGCCCTCATGCGTGCAGCTTATGGAGCTGCTTATAGCTGCTGCTTCTTTTATTTTATTTTTTTGAATTCTTGTGCCAAGAGTGTTTGGTGCAACTTTTGCTTACAACTTTATGAGGTAGAAATAACTTATACAAGCTATAAAAAAAAACTAATTATTGGGAAGCATTCAATGGTAAAACCTTGGCCTAAAAACGTTGAGGTTATGGGTTCAAGTCTCGGGGCAACCACTTTGTGCACTATGCCAAAGGTTAAGTGTGTACCCAATCTTTCCCCTCTCAAACACACATTAATGTGTACTATTTGGGCGTTGCTTTTATTATTATTTTTTATTTTTTTAGGGAATGGGGTGCTTTTAGCTTATGCTTTTAGATTATCAGCTTATATCTTGCAAGAAGCTGGCAATTTCAAAATTGTGACACAGTAACTGGAAATTTCATTTAAACTGGGATTGTGAATATGATTTAATGTGGATTTAGTACTAATGATAAACAGCAAATTAATCACTTTCAAAGGTGAAAAAAAAAATTAACTAATCGCTTGCGATGCACACCTGTGATCATTTTAACGCTCACTCCAAGACCTAGAGCTCTTCTAATAGTTTCAGCACTGTCATGGCGAGGTGGATCAAAGAGAGGGAGAAGACCAAGAAATTCCCATGGTCCACCGGGACTGTCTTTGGTACCAGCAGGTACTTCCTGTTAAACCAAATAAACCCTTCATTTGTAAAGGCAATGGAGTAACAGACTTGAGGAGAAACTAGCGAGTGACTAAAAGCTTAATTACCTGGCGAGCAACTGCAAGGGATCGAAGTCCACGTTCTGCAAATTTATCTATCACGGAGTGTACCCTTTTCTCAATTTCTGATTTGTTCCAGGCCAGATTGAGAATCTAGCAGTTACACATAAAAAGAAGTTCAAAGTTTTAGGATAAACTATAATCTAAAAGCATGTATACTTTAAATCAAGAGAAAATCCTATGTCAAACAGCATAGCGTTTTGGTTTGAATAAAATCTATGCTCTGAAACAAGAGCTGGACAAGAGTGTTTGACAACGGAAAATAGGACCACCGACCATGTTCTTAATTTTCTAGAAGTTCCTTGAAACTATCTTCTTAATTTGTCTCCTTATGTTAACTACATCTAATGAGTGAACAAACCAATATTGATGAGAATAACTGTGGATAAACTTCGCTTTCGGAGAGGTAAAAATGATTCAAAAAAATTTGGACAGTTTGCTTGATTGGGCATCCCCACCAGTGCTACTATTGAAATATATATGATTTTAAGAAATAAATGGATGGCCACACCTACTATGGCTACACATATCGATATTCAGATAAGATTTACATAGTGAAGTGGTCAAAATGAATGTACATCTCAAAGTATTAAAACTTCGTACCTGCTCCGGTGCACCTTTGCTCGCTCTGTGCATTTTCCCTGCACTATCTATGTATGTCAGTGCCGTCCTCTTATCAGTTGGATTGAAAGGAAGGAAATGAATTTCTGTAATCCCAATTCGTGCCTTAAAAAAGAGCCAACATAATTTGTAATCAATTTCACTATCATATTTTAACCATAAGAAAATCATCTCAATATTTTATGAGCTGCAAAGCTTGTTTAAATAGAACCTTCAATAATGCGTAATCAATAAAAATTGCAAGCGTACTCTACATATGATGTTCTCATCATCATACAAGAAAAACCCAATGAAGAGTAAAGGTAGATTTTTGCTTGTGAACAAATGATGAGAAGAGAGCACAAGCTCGGCAAAATTAATAAGAACCAGTACCTCCTTAGGATCAGCCAACATTGAAACAATTGCTGTGTCAATAGCATCTTGGTTCTCCAACCTTGAGGCTCTTGCAGCCATCAACACAACCATATCTCCGTCAACGCCTTTGGTGAAAACCTGTAGCAACATGAATGACTTAAATTTTTTTGGTGACAAATTAACTTTCATTCTAAGAATGCTAAGGGCAATATAAGTCTAAAAATATCATTGTTCTTCTACATTGCATGCAGCTCTTTCATCTAGTCTAAACAGAATCACATTTACCATATACTCAAAAATTCATTTTGCAATGTTTTTCCTAGTCACCAAGCTTGTATTCAAGGACAACTTTACCAGTAATTGCAGGAATTAGTTGTTTTTGAATTATTTTGCATAGACCTAAGTTGACATAGATGCACTAGTGAAAAAGAAATTAATTGATTTAAATTATTATTTTTTATTTAATTGAGCTTATAGTCCTTAATAGAGCAAAATGGCAAACAAGATTTCATGTAGCCAACCCCACTTGATTGAGACACAAGGCTTAGTTTGGTTTGGTTTAAAAGTGTGTCTTGTTCAGACTTGTGGTTTGATGTGAAATAAAGATGATGCTATGACCTTTAAAAACCATGTAGACCATAGTTTTAGTAGACAATGCAAACTTTGTAATAACTGAACTGTGCCCTAGTTCCCATTAGCAAGGGTATCTATGAGAGTTCGTTGCAAAGTTAAGCAGATTAAAAGAAACAGAGGCAGAACAGAAGTATCACCTCAACCATATTTTTGTCCACTGTAAGTTTGTTGAGAGTTAAAGTGCCTGTTTTATCACTGCATAACACATCCATACCGGCCATTTCCTCAATTGCCGTCATTCTTTTTGTTATGGCACCCTGCATAACAAGTTTATTTATTTTTTAGTTTCTACACGTTAATAAAGATAATTTTAATGCAACGACACTCTTCCACAGAAGTATTGGCAGCACTACAAACCTGCTGGGATAAGCGATGGGAACCGATGGCCATTGTAACAGAAAGAACTGTTGGCATTGCAATTGGAATTCCACCAATGAGTAGAACAAGAAGGTCATCTATAGCCGAACGATATTTCCTCTTTTGGGAACAAATTACGATGATTTCAATTACCATCCCTGTGGCAATTGAGCAAATGCAGAAGTTGCCGATTGCAGTCAACACCTGGACTCATCAAGAAAAATGATATTCCATACAACAATAACCAATTAAAATTTTTCTCATATGTTATATGAAAGACCTCACAGATTAAGTAACTTTAGTGGGCATATAAGCATCAAAGTAACAATGTCAAAATACATATAATAGATCACTTGATAGCAAAATTTTCTTTTCCTTTCTTCCCCTTTTTTTGGTAGTCTTAACACTAGCAACATATGAGCATTCAACTCTAATGTATAGTCAAGATGAAAGGAATTTCTTAAGTGAACCTTCTGGAAGTGCCCAATATGAGTAGTGTTTTCCACAAGATGAGCTGCCTTTCCAAAGAAAGTATGTACTCCTGTTGCAATAACGACTGCTTCGATTTCACCTTGCTTACATGTTGAACCTGAGTATATGCCATCACCGGGATTTTTGGTTACTGGGAGTGACTCTCCTGTAAGGGCAGACTGAAAACAAAAAGTTTATAATCAATATCCCAGATCTTAAAAATAGACAAATTTTACTTTATAAATATTTTTTGCCTTTATTTTTTTTTTTTTCTCTCTCTCCCTTCAAACATTTATCCAGTTACATGTTTTATTTGTAAGCAAGAAAACTTAAGAAAGGTACTCTACATTAATCTCTAATGGTCAATATAGTAAATGTTAAGACAGCATAATCAATCATAAAAACATCGATAATATCTTTAAAAAATAATAAAAATAAAAATAAAAATTTGAGGAAAGAAAGAGACTACTAAAGGTTGGTATTATATGTCATTTTCTTGAGTAAACGGATCCTCCAAGAAATGCAGCTTTGGCAAATTAAAATAAGATTATGCTTTCAATGAGAATATTATAACATCCAACAAAGAAAACAGAAACATTGACAAAAATATAATAATTATTTTAACAGTGCTAGAGACACCATCACACATACCAATGAAAATGACGAGATGAAATAGATTTCCCTTTTTTTTTTTCTTTTTTTTTTTTTTGAGTAATTCTATCAACATAGAATATGGAATACAAACTGTTCATAGAAGGCATGTTGCTTTCATTTTACTTTTCATTTGTTTTTGTTTTCACTTACCTGTTGAAGGAAGCCACATTAACTTCTGTGAATAATTCTGTATTCCTCTTCTGTGTTAGCAGAACTACTATTTTCTTTCAGAGACCGAGATAAGAGAGGTTTGCAAGACATATTGGGGAGCGTATGCTTTTTGTGCAACTTATTTAAGTTATTTATAATAGTTTTAGGGTTAATTATACTTTTATTCTTTATAGATTGATTTAAATTTTACTGTAGTTTCTATAGTTTTAATTTGAACAATTTGGTATCCATACTTTAAGTCTTATTTGATTTAATCATTTTGTCTAAATTGAAGGTTAAAATTAATAATTTTTTAACACTTGTCAATTTAAGTCTAGTTTCAATTTGGTCATTACATGTAAATTGGAGGTTAAAATTAATAATTTTGGGACACTTGTCAATTTTTTTAAGGTGTATACGTAAATAAAATTAACAAAAAATCAAATTGAAACTAGATTTAAAGTGTGGAGACCAAATTGTTCAAATTGAAACTATAAAGACTAAATAGTCGGACCGTGGCAATACATTGAAGAAAAACTCATTTGTTCACAAGACAGAAGTCCAATGCAAATAAATAAGCAATATTTTTCAAAATAGAATTGGAGAGATTCAAGCTATACCCCCTTTTTCTTTTTCTTTTCCTGATCAATATATGAAACATGCATTCAATCTCTTATTCTAGCAAATCTGACTCTTTTTTTTAAAACTGTCTATATATATATATATATATGTTTAACTCAAGTTTGCTAGAGTTGTTCTCAAACCTGATCAATTTTCAAAGGATCCCCTTCAAGCAGACGTGAACCCCTTTGTTATAAAGGAATAATATCTCCTAGTTTGATACTAATAATGTCTCCAGGAACCAACACAGATGCATCTTCCTCCTTCCATTTCCCATTACGTAAAACCTGACGAGAAAATTTAGATTCCAAATTGAAAAAAAAAAAGGTCAAACAAAAAGAAGACAAGAAAGGGAATGAGATAAAATGCAAAAGCTAGAATTTCAAGGAAAAAGTAGTTAAACACAAACAAAATTTTCGAGGTAAACCTTAGTTTTTGGAGCTAACCGAGCCATAAGGGCTGCAGCTGCATTTCCAGCATTATTTTCCTCTATAAAACTTATGGTTGAATTGATTATTAGGAGTATCACGATGCCAATAAAATCTTGGTAATCAATGTCCTTTCTCTGCACAAAGAATGTTTTGCAACAGCAATAAGGAAATGGAATTCTAGTTTCGATATTTTCGCTTGTCCTCAAATAGATGTATGTGCATATGATAGACCTCCATAAACTCACCCCTCCATGTGCAAGGGAGATAGCCATGATTGCTGCTGCTTCCATAACCCATGATAGAGGATTCCACATAAAACCTAAAAACTTAAGTACTTTACTTTCCTGTTAAATAAATGGCACAATTACAAGTCAAGATAATGGTAGAAATTATCAAGAACATAATTACCCTTCTTAAGTAACAACAGCACAAGGACCATGACACTGGGAGAAAAGAAAAAAAGAAAAGAAAAGAAGAAGCTGAATCAAGTTACAGGAAACCTTTTTCTCCTCAAGCTTGTTGTATCCAAACATATCCAGACGCTTCTGGACGTCATCTGAACTGAGACCCTCTCTTGTGCATTCCAACTTTTCGAAAACTTCTTCAATAGGAATGTTTTCCTGCCAAAAAAAAATGTCAGGTTAGCAGATTATTATTGAACATACTTCCACATTTACGTCTCTAAGCCAGGCACACCACTGATATTGGGGATACAATAGTTGTCCCTGACAGTATGATTGATTCAGCAACAAAAGTTATCATCACATCCATTGACAGTACTTGATACAAAAGTTATGTAAGTTGCCTAAGGAATTATCCAAACAAAATTCGTTCTTGATTCTTATTTATGCTGTTTTCACACTTCCAGTCCAGCAAAGGTAATTATTGGTAAGTGGAAACAAGTTCCTCTGGTAGAAAATAAAATAATAATCATAATCATTGTGTAATTCAAATAATTTTTCAATTGTTGTACAGCTACAAATCTATGGTCCCATCTTTCAACAAGGATATAATCTATAACGCAGGGACACTCCAAAACAGGTGACGTAACACTGTTGGACACACCAGGGAAACGGGCTTCCACATTTACGTCTCTAAGCCAGGCACACCACTGATATTGGGGATACAATAGTTGTCCCTGACAGTATGATTGATTCAGCAACAAAAGTTATCATCACATCCATTGACAGTACTTGATACAAAAGTTATGTAAGTTGCCTAAGGAATTATCCAAACAAAATTCGTTCTTGATTCTTATTTATGCTGTTTTCACACTTCCAGTCCAGCAAAGGTAATTATTGGTAAGTGGAAACAAGTTCCTCTGGTAGAAAATAAAATAATTGTAAAATAAATTGATAGAGAGAGAATAAATTGTATGTATTATTGATTATCTCCTTGATTGATATATTGTATGTACATTATATAGGAGATGTGGGTGGAGAGTAGGTGTAGGTGTAGTGGAGTAGGTGGAGTAGGTGTAGTGATAGTAGGTGTAGTGATAGTAGGTGGAGTAGGTGGAATTTTAACAGCCCCCCTCAAACTCAAGGAGGATAAACAGAAACCAACTTGAGTTTGGAGAGAGTAACAAACAGGAAAATAAGATAGGAGACACTGTATGGTTGTGTCGGACCGTTGTAGCAGATAATGTCTGGACAGTTCACGAGGTCACACCGGACCGATGGAGAAGCTAACCGGAATCAATGTCGGGACAGTTTATGGGGTCATGTCGGACCGTTGGAAAAGTCGCACCCTCAAAAGGTGTGCCCAATCTTTCAAAAGGCGTGCCCAATCCATAAAAAGGCGTGCCATCAAAAGACGCACCCATGTTGTCGTCTAGCGCCGAGCGGCGCATGATGCGCGTGTCTGCCTTGGCTATTTAACCAAGACGGAGGCTGAGGCGAAGGCGAAGACAAAAAACTTGCGAAAAAAACTTCTGAAAAACTCTACGTTTTCTGAGAGAGAAACTCTGTAACACTCTGTTGCCCAGAAAATGGCCTCTTCTTCCCGTGGTCTGCTCACTCTCTTTCCCGACCTCAACGAGTCAACAAGAGAGATAACTGGTGCGGTGGCCCGTGAACCTCAACCAAACGCCTCTGAGTTTGCTCCGTTGACCTTTCCTATGCGGTCTGTGGAGCAAAGAATGGCAGCACAATCAGATATTGAGGCCAATCAGTATACATTGAAGTCATGTGTGGAGACGATGACGGCAGTCACAAACTTGTCGCACCGGCTTCAGAGTAGGACAAATGAGGTGCAGCAGTTAAACGCCCAACTGGCTCTGCTCCAGCCCATGTATAAGGATGCGTGAGCAGAGATATGTGTGTTAAAAGCGGAAAACAAGGAGCTGAAGCGGAAGGCGAACCCAGCCGCGATTGAAGTCGGTCGCCGTAGTTGAAGATCATAGATGCAACTTCAGGTGGCTGTTAAGAGAGCTCGAATCCAAGACCAAGACCATCTCTCTCTATATGGCCGATCTAGACACACACACGATATATCACACACCATCCATACAGATTCACACACACACGGTATTAGAGAGACATGGTTTTTTTTTTTTTGTTTTTTTTTTTTTTGTGGTGTAAAATGTGGATCGGGGTGAGCCCCGACATGAATAAAATGAGGTTGGTGTGCAGTTTTTTTTTTTTTTTTGATTCAAACCCAAGTTCTCCGGAAGGCTAAAAATAGAGAGGTAGGGTGAGAAAATAAAGTATAAAAGAAAATAAAAAAGAAGAGAAGTGTGTGAATAAAGGTGAAGAGAAATGTGTGAAGGTTAAAGTAATAAAAAAATAAAAAGGAAATGGGAGATTCAAATGTGTTGGGGCGGGTCCTACCACTAATGGAAAAGGAAGATGATGGGTGTGCAAACCAGTTTGTGTTTCGTGTTCTTGTCAAAAGATGGAGTAAAATAAATATAAAAAAAAAAGAAAAGAAAGCTGAGTGGGGAACATGAGTGTGTGGAAAGAAGGAAAAAGAAAAAGTATGGGTTGGAGACTTGTGCTGTTTCTGTTTCAGATACCAAAAGCTTCAGGGGTCCAAGGTCCCCCGCACATGGTGGTATATAATCATTTTCCAGTTGGACAATTTGGCCAAGTTGGTTTGAGTTGCATGGGCATCACTTATATCCAGAGGTGTTTGGTTGGAGTGGTGGAATAGTATTTTATGAGAGAGTGAGAGGAAGTGATAATAAAAACAATGTGTTTATCTGTGTATGATAGGAGAGAGAGAGAGATCATGCATCTCTTGGGTGTGTGAGCTGGTGTGTCTGCGTGTGCATGTGTATCTCTTTACATTTTCAACACTCAAAACAGCCGAGAGAGAAGAGGGTGAAGTCATTGCGCCTCTCTGCTGACCCATCCACAAAAAGACCAGCATCACTGACGGAGGAGGTGGTTAGGATACGCCGAATGCGTGAAGTGAATCAGGAGGCAGTTCTTCTTGCACTGTGCTCCAAGACTTTCACATCCAGAGTGATAATTTTCAGTGGAACAAAGCAGGCTGCACATAGGCTGAAGATTTTATTTGGATTAGCTGGGTTCAAAGGTGCCGAACTACATGGAAATCTTACCCAAGCCCAGCGTCTTGATGCTTTGGAACTTTTCAGGAAGCAGCAAGTAGATTTTCTTATTGCAACTGATGTTGCTGCTCATGGACTTGACATCATTGGTGAAGAGCCGGATTGTTGCAGAGCAATCAACAACTAAATGGTCTCAGATCATTGACCAAATGGAGGATCAAGTGGCCGCAATTCTCCAAGAAAAGAGGGAAGAGATGGAGTGAAGGCATGTGTAGAGGTCCGGCGGGCGGCCAAGGCGAGGCTGCCGCCCGCCGGTGAAGCAGAATTACTAGCTTCTTAACCTTGCTCTGATACCATGTAAAATAAATTGATAGAGAGAGAATAAATTGTATGTATTATTGATTATCTCCTTGATTGATATATTGTATGTACATTATATAGAAGATGTGGGTGGAGAGTAGGTGTAGGTGTAGTGGAGTAGGTGGAGTAGCCTACACCTACTCTCCACCCACATCTCCTATATAATGTACATACAATATATCAATCAAGGAGATAATCAATAATACATACAATTTATTCTCTCTCTATCAATTTATTTTACAATAATAATCATAATCATTGTGTAATTCAAATAATTTTTCAATTGTTGTACAGCTACAAATCTATGGTCCCATCTTTCAACAAGGATATAATCTATAACGCAGGGACACTCCAAAACAGGTGACGTAACACTGTTGGACACACCAGGGAAACGGGAAATGCCTGCCAGGGACACGGCAAACACGTATGAAACATGCTAACTAGTGTGTCCTTTCATTTAATTAATATGTTTTTTCGGGACACACCAACTAGTTTTTTTTTTTTTTTTTCCCTCTCTTCTTTAGTGTTTTTGATGGATGTTAGAAGTTGAATGTTCATTACTTTTTTTATCTTTTTTATAGTTGATCTATTAATTTAAATCTGGCGAGTTTTTTTTGAGTTTATAATATTGAATTAGTGTTAATTTTGATTAATTTTGATTGTTTGTGGATGTGGAAGTAATAATATTAACCTACATAGAAAATAAAAATATACAAAAAAAAAAAATTATTTGTGTGTCCCTGTCATGTCCATGTCCTCATTTTTTTTAAAAAAAAAATCACTGTGTCCTATATCCGTGTCCGTACCCATATCCGTATCCATGTATGCTCTTCTTTGGATATAACATTCTCATTGCATTGATCCAGCAATATTAAAGGGCTGCCACTTAAAGTACTCTCACATAGCTAGGACAGTACAAAGCCACCATAGCACTTATCACATATGACACGTATCAAAACATGACCTAGAAACAAAGATGTGGCATTTATCAAGAAGATAGGGTGGCTAGCTAAGTAATCTATCTGTTAAATTATCACTAATATCATAAACTCCAATGCAATGTCTAGATAGAAGATACAAATAATTGTCATTCAGGGCTCAGTATGGTGTTGGTTTGTAGATAAACAATACAAAACACCAAAAATAGAAACATAGTGTTAACCATATGATTTTGCAATTAGGTGCAGAAAAACAGCATGGTAATTTGGTAAACCAAACAGTTGTACCAAATCAACAGTTTCTTTGTTGACAGCTTCGAGGGCAAATGTTCCCATTTCCATTGTGGCTGTCCTGCTTCAACGCCCAACCCAGCAACGAACTGCATATTCAGAAACTTCTCATCAAATCACTTCATGGTGTAGAAAAGAATCACCCAAATTAATTTATCAAAAAAAAAAAAAGAATCACCCAAATTAACAATACTGTAGACAATTAAAGATGTGAAATACAAATGAATGGCTAATGAAAAACCCTTTTTCCTTAAATTTGCTTAGCCTAAACAATTACATGAAGAAAAAAAAAAAAAAAAAAAAAAAAACCCTTTTTCCTTAAATTTTCTTAGCCTAAAAAATTAAATGAAGGAAAAAAAAAAAAAAAAAACTTGAAATGCACGTTGTGTGTTCTTTTTTGGCCTGGAAAATTAAAAAGTTGCCTCAACTGCTCCACACATTTGATATTAGGCATACATTTGGATGCATTTTTCTTTATATGTTTGTTTCTTCGCTTTCTCATGTCTTGTACAATAAATACTGAAATCTTAAATCCGAATTTTGATTATTTTATCTTCCTACATTTGCTTAGAATTGCAACAGGTTAAAAGTAAAGTGGAGTAAAAATTAAGTAGCCTGTTTCGTTGGTGAGCTGTTTCCGAAAACAGTTTTCAATAAATTTTTTAACAAACAACCTAACTTTTTCATAATCCCTAAAAAGTTGTTTTCATACAAAAATGAAAACGATATCAAAGCATTGGGTGTTTCAAACTATTCATTGTTTTGTTTCGGAAAACACAAAAAACGAAAACTAGGAAAAGGAAAACAGAACCAAACAGGAAGAATCACAATGCTCACCACAATCATGGGCATGTAGCTATGGCATAACCAGTGACACCACTGAATGATGAAATGTTTTTATAGTATATGTAGATTCTATCCAAATTTTTTGGGTTTTACAAAGTGAACCCAGTGGAATCAGGAAACAATAAAAACAAATTTATGGGTTTCACAAATTGACTCCAATGGAATAATAAATAATAATAATTATAATAAAAGACACTTAAAAGCAAACCTTTTTGCTTCTTATTAACCCACAGAGACTATCTCACACACTTAGAAACATATTCAATTTAATGTAGTGTTAGTATTTATTGATGGTATATATGTAGCCAAATTTGTCATATATTGATATTCGAAGAATCATTTACATTTTGTTTTGAGCTTTTAGGTTTTGTATTTTTTTTTTTTTTTTACATATATCGAAAAAGAAATGCTTGATAGCATAAATAATGAGATTATCATGCAGCAATTTCAAAAAATGAAAACTCACCAAGGACAATTGTAGAAATTACATATTTTGCTTATTTTTGTTAAAACAATATTATTAATATCTTAATTTTTGTTTTAATTTGACAAGTTTAAATTACTTTTGTTGAAGTAATTGGGAGTATATAAAATTCAACTAAAACTTTTACATTATGACATTCATGATAACTTGTTCAGTGTCTCTTAATGAAATTCCTGACTACATCACTGACACAACAACAATCCCATAATAAATCATTCAAGATCCTCCTTTGGGAACATGAATACATATACATACATACACATTCACATATCAATGCGTAATTGTGTAACATTTGAACCCAGATCGGCAGTTTATAATAGTGATGCATCAACAAAAAATTAAGCAGAACCAAACAAAAAATGATCTGGTTTAACATTTCATCAAACAACTGGTAGGCACTACAAATTCACTCACTACACTGCTGCATGAAATCAAAAGGCGTACCTAAGCAAACTCAAAGAGAGGGCTTGATCAACATGAACCCACTTGACATCACCAATTTTACCCAAATGGGTTGCGAGTATTGGGTGACAAAATGTGTGCTTCCAATATATAACCTGCGAAAGATGCATATCGACATCAATTCGATTCTAATTAGGCGAATGTTTTAGATGCCAGAAGAGAGAGAGAGAGGTTTACTGGAAACGGAGAGGATAGAGCCATGAACGTAAACATCAATGAGGTAGAAGACGAAAAGAGAGCTTTTGGAGTTCCGTCAACAGCAACATCAACAACGACACAGCAAAAAAACTGCTGTTTCTCTCTCTCTCTCTCACTCTCTCTCAAGAGAGAGTGTGACGTGACGTTCAATGCACAACGCTTTTGGTGTTAGGTGCTTTCTTGCTCTGGCTTGTGTTTTGGCAATGTTTTCGTTTTGGGTTTGGCTTATTATGGCGTCGCTTGACAATTACATTAAAAGTTTTTTTTTTTTTTTTTGTATTTTTTTTAAAAATAAAAAAAAAAAAAGTCAAAAATAAATTAATTTTTAAACTACTTCATAAAATAAGTCATGTCGTCGTCTTGTTGATAGCCTCATTTTGAGATGAACATCGTTATTTAAGATAAAAATTAAATTAAATTAAATTTTTAAGTGATTGTTTGGGATGTACTTATTTATCTTTTTTGTTCACATTATTTCTTTATTTTTTTATATATCTTTTCATAAAAATTAAAAAAGTATACTTATTTAGCTTTTGTTTGGCTAACTTAGGCTTCATTTGGCAAAGAGGTTTGAGGTTATTTTAGCACAAAATAGGCTATTTTAGCCACAACAAATAAAAGATCACATCTAACTCATAATCATTACACTCTTCTCTCACAAAAAAAAAGTTAAAAAAGTCAAAAAAACCCTCCTCAAACCAAGCTTTTTAACCCATGTTAAAATAGCAAAAAAAACCAAAAAGTCGAAAAGTCAACCCACTTTCCAAACAGAAGCTTAGTTGGCCTAAAAAATCACAAAAGACAAAATAAGTTAAATAAGTCAATTGATTTGGCATAAACTATAAAAGTCAAAAAAATTATTAATAGGTTGTTTGGAAATTACTAGATTAATATTTTTTTTTTTACTTTTTACGAAAAAACCTGAAATATAGGTTGGGTTTTGAGTGATGTGGTAGAGAGGTGACATAATTTAAATAAAATAATTGTGACCTAAATAGGATAATGTACTAAAATAGCACATGCCAAACAACTACTAAAAAAGTTAAAAAGTCCATACTATTTTGAGGCAGCTTGTGGGGGAAGTCTAGAGGATAAAATTATTATTTTGTCTTTTGAATTCAACAATCCAAAAGTCAAGTCAAAAAGTCAAAAAGGTAAAATGGTCATTTTGCTTTTATTATAATATTTTATTACACATTTTTTCGTAAAAAGTCAAAAAATTATCTAAAAAATACATCTTTTTTTCTCTACTATTTTTAGCTAAAAAGTCAAAAAGTGCACTTAGATAGCACATTCCAAACAATCACTAAGACAAAATGTCGCATCCAAACTATAATCATTTCATTTTTTCTCTTACAAAAATCAAAAAAGTCAAACCAAACGAACTTTTTAGTCCTAAGCTAAAAAAGTCACAACTCAAAAAAACCAACTAAAAAAGCCAATGCCAAACGGAGACTTGGATCATCCCAAACAATCCCTAAGTTTAGTAATGTGACAATTAATTAAGATATTAAAAGTAATACTCTCTTATATATTTTTTAATTATCAACCAATCATATCATGTATATATTATTTAGTCTATAAAATAAGTTTAAAAAAGTAAACTTATATATCATTTTCGTTAAAGCTTTTAAAATATTTATGTAAAAAATAGTTGAGTAAAAAATTATTCCTATAAAAAATTTAAATGATTGGATATTAATAATTATATATTTGAATCATATTTGTTTTAAAAAAAAAAAACTAACAACAGATATAATTCAAGAATAATTATTTGTACGGGGAGCAAATATTCAGGCAAGCCCGTACTCCCTTCTTCCAAGCTCCACTTCTATCCGATCACCTGCGTACACAAAGGCGGTGAGCTACCCGGCGGTGTGTGGCCAGAAAATCCCTCCGACGGTCAAGTTAGAACGCACACCAGGGGATAGATAGAGAGAAGGAAGAGAATTGTGTTTAGTGTTTATCTCACCAAAAATGTCCTATGTCAAGCATGGGGGCGCAGACTTGCTTATATACCTTCTACGCCCCAAATCTACTCTCAGTGATCTCTCGACACGTGGTTCTGATATCCCATCTGTCAGCACAAATCTTGCTGAGCATCACCTAACCCAATTACCAACCCACTCTACTGGGAGCTCGGCAGCCGGGCAATATTATCTCGGCTATCAATGGCCATACTCCACTTCAAGCCCAAGCGCACTTGACAACGTAATGCTCCTCCAACCGGGCTCATTTCTAGCCGTGCTCGACTGCTTTCCAACGAAGCCGAGATGGAGGTTGATCAACTTGGTCGTGCCAGGCTGAGGGCGCGTGTATTACAACCGAGCAACGCGCGAGCTGTGGAACCCTTACCTAACTGAACCTTAACCTGTCTGGTCTCCGTGCCAACGAAATCAGGTACCTCAGTTCCACAAGGCCTTTGCCATTACCGAGCAAGATCACGGCCCAATCTCGGAGCCAAATACCTCGGCCCAACCTCGTTCGGCCTAATCTGTCCGGCTAATTCCACCTTCCCAAATTCAGATCATTAATCTCCCTCTCATTATTCATTTTTTATAATATAAATTCAAACATACAATTACTGATATTTGATCATCTTAACTTTTTTGCATTTAGTCAACAACTCTTAAAATGTGAATTGTTTAAATTATCGAAATCGATTCTAAAATAAACCTACAAAGCTCTCAAATTAAGAATTCTAACTTAAGACAATCTTTTGAACTTAATTTTCTGAAAGTTGAATTTTTTTATTTTTCGTATTTTATTATTTTTTTTCATTGAATTTTTTTAAATATTTTAGATAAATTTTTAGATAGACTTAATATAAATACAATTAAAAAATATAATATATGTGAAAAAAAATCTTTAAAAAAATTCACTAAATATCAAAAATATATATAAAAACTCAATAAAAATCTTCAAAAAATTCACTAAAATTCAAAAATATAAAAAAAAACAAAAAAAAAAACAAAACAAAATAAAAATTCAGTACATTTTTTGGTATTTTTGTGTATTTATTGATTTTTTAAAATATTTTTTTACAAATATTTTACCTTTTGTATACATTTAAGTAAGGTACATCTAAAAAAAGTAAAAAGAAAATTACTTAAAAGTTTAAAAACATTCACTAAAAACAAAACAAAAAAAATACGCAAAAATAAAAAAATTAATTCAAAAAAAATTAAATTCAAAAAATTAGAACCAAACAAGGTGTTTGATTTTCTACTTCTCACTCACTGTTATGCATCCATAATTTTTCACACAATTAGTGCACGAAAAGGAATATTCTAAGCAGAAAATTATTCATTCATAAAAAAAATATTAATTCAAATTTAAATGGTATAGTTGTAAGGTTTATATATATATAGATTAAATCATGACCGCGTATGATATTTTTTTATTGTGTTTTGAGAAATTCGTAAAAAATTGACTTTTTTATGACTTTTTAGCTCTTATGTGACTCTTTTTAGCTAAAAAGGTTAAAAAGTCAAAAAACTGAATTTTTATGATGTACCCAAATTATTGTTAGGGATGGCAATTTTGACTTGATGGGAATCCGGCCCTCTGACTCCGATTAGAACAATTTTTCCTCGAACAATACCTTTCGACGGGTAGGGGATGACATTTGAAAATGAATCCCCAATAAATTTCGGGCCGGGGACAGTGATACATTCCCTGGGCCTGGCCCCATCCCCGTTTTTCCCCGATATGAAATTACGAGTATACCCCTATATATATAAACCAAACCCTAAAACACAATTACACAACCTCACACTCACGAACACACACAAGCAGACTGACTGACCGCCTCTCATCTCTCTCTCTCTCTCTCTCTCTCTCTAAAACCCTCCCATCACAGTCGATCTCCCTCCCTCCGTTGTCCTCCTCTCCCTCCTTTTATCACCGCCAATTTGCCTTCTTCTGTTATCCTCACCCCCCTCTCATCACTGTTGATCTCCTTCCTCCTTCAATCTTAGCCAAAGTAAACTCAGATCTGTAACGATCGAGGCCAAATAAGGCGTCACCGCTGGTGAATGATGTAGGCCGAAAGGCACCACATTGAAGTCGCTTAAGTTACATTTATAGTCTTTTAATTCTGTTTATTTGGCGGAGATGATGTGTTTGTGCACTTATACAAATTTGACAGGAAATATGCAAATTCAATAAAAAAGGACGCGAAAGCAGATTCTCTGTGCGAGAAGCAAAAAATCGTTTTTGAGCAGCATTTCCCACCACCACCGGATCCACATCAGTGATATCTATATATTTTCTTTGTTTTCTTTATTTATTTATTTGTTTTTGTTTTCTTTTCTTTTCTTTTCCATTTATACTGTATCGTTCACAAAAAAAAAAAATACTGTACTGAAAAAAAATAAAAAAGTAAAAAAAAAAACAAAGTGTGTGTGTGTTTGGGTGTCCTTGCCTCGCTGACTGTGCGCCTACGCCGTCTGGTAAGTTCCTCTCTCTCTCTCATTTTACTATCTACTGTACAATTGCTTACATTGAGGATAATGTTGTATTCGAGTTAGGGGGTGAGGGTTTTTATAAAAATAAATCATGTTTGTACTTGCTGCACTTGATTGTATCGCTTCACTTAATATTCACTTTGTGGTAATATGGTAGTGATATGAGCATATGTTAATTGGGGAACATAGTAGGCTTGTATGAAAAGGGTTTATTGGGTAGCTACTCGCATGTGATATTTCCACTAGGAGAGTTGTTTGTGTTTGTGGTATTAATACACTTGTCATGAGTATATCTTGATTCATATGAACACACTATCATAGCGGTGACCTCTCTATTATAGTCCCTGGTATACGTTATTAATAATTGCTAGGGTTGCAGAAAAGAATAAATGAGTAGCCAAGATTCTTAAAAAAAAAAAAAAATACTTAACTTGTTTGAGTTCGTAACTTCTTTAACTCAAGTTATTAAGCTAGTGCCCTAAAACAGTCTAGTTTGGGAGTCATTGGCCTAACACTTGCTACATGGGTTAATTAGAAAGCTTAAGAGACTTAGACATTGCACAATTAAGGAAAAATAAAGAGAATGACTTGTTCGGATTCGTAGCATTTTCAGCTCGAGTTATTAAGCCCGTAGGGGTGTCTTCACACCCAGTGCCCTAAAACTGTCTGGTTTTGGAGTCATTGGCCCAATGCTTGTTACCTGAGTTGATTAGAAAGCTTAATGGATCAAGACATTACATAATCTT